AGGCATCTTGTTTGGAGAGTTTGATTTTTAGGGAAGTCTTCAGAATGTTCGAACTGGTGCAAAAATAAATATGAGAAATGCACAATGGTACGAGGAAATCAAATTATATTACAGAAGTCATGGTTGCGCGATATGTCACCTGCCCGGGATGGAACCAGTGCGTGGTAATTTAGATTGTTTGTACAGCGACCAACTGGACTCTACATGCGCTCCAGAGGCCGGGAGAATCGACCGTTGGCTTGAACGGCCGAACGAGAATAAAATAAGCACCAAGAAAATAAGCACCCAGGAAAGAGATTAATGGCACGAAGGAAGAGGCACCGAGGAGGTCATTAGATGTTCACTGAGAATCCCCTTAGATGTCGACGTGGCAGCCCCGAGGGTTGCTCACCGGAGTGAGTAAGATCTCCGCGTGTTCCTGGCCGATTCCGCCTTTCTCGATGTTTGCCTCGAGACGAGACGTCTCCGCGTCCAGCGGTGTCACGGCGATCCCAGTGATCCGGAATCCATCTTTCCTGAACCTGTCGTTGTAAGGCCTGTCGGACTGTCGTACGACCGGTTCCTGTTGGAACGGTTCCCACACCTCGGCCGCGCCAACGATGAGGGGACACTGAGGGAGCCTCCTCCTCGTGTAAACGCCACAGAGCCAGTCCCAGACCCTCTTGAGCTGCGATTCCACGTGTTGCCATCCCGCATGTACGAGCGCGAGAGCGAGATGCCCTCCCGATCCCACGGGAACCGAGTTAGCACTCACGGATCACGTGATATTATTTTTAATTCTCAAATATGGAACGAGCCGCGCAGCGACGAGTGTTCTCGATTTAAATGGCGTATTATGAGACGCACGATCGGAAGAAGAAAATTGCTCCTTGACTCTGTCTTCCATCTATCGTAGAGTCAGGAACTTTGTGGAAAATGTTAATGGATCAGAAATCACCCAGGAAACAAAGGAAAGGGATACATGATAAGGGACTCGTGAGGAAAGCATATCATAAGCATCACCGATCCTCTCCGCAGATATCGACGTGACAGCTCCAAGGGTTGCTCACCGGCGTGAGGAGGATCTCCACATTGTCGTGACCGATTCCCCCTTTCTCGATGTCTGCCTCGGGACAAGACGTCTCCGCGTCCAGCGGCGTCACGGCGATCCCGGTGATCCGGAATCCATCTTTCCTGAACCTGGCGGTGTAAGGCCTGTCGGTCTGACGCACCACCCGCTCCCGATGGTACGGTTCCCCAACCTCGGCCGTCCCCACGATGAGAGAGCACTGAGGAAGCCTCTTCCCCGAGAAAATGCCTAGGAGCCAGTCCCAGACCTTCTTGAGCTGAGGTTCCACTTGCTGCCATCCCGCATGTACGAGCGCGAGAGCGAGATTCCCTCCCACTTCCACGGGAACCAGTGCAGTCGAGGCAGAACCGGCTTGCCCCATCTTCTGCGAAAAAACTCCACTTTACCGATACGGCAGAGATCTTACACGCTTTCACTACCCTTTGCTTACCGTTAAGTGTAGCCTATGCTCGAGAAATGCAGCTAGACGCGTCCGGAAAGGTTCGCACTCTCAAGGGTTCCTGGTAATCTATAAACCTGGGCGTAGATAGACATTTCCGGAAGGTGTTCCCATTTATCTCCCTGGGAAATTCTTGATAAGAGGAAAAATGTGATGACTCGGATGCTAAATTTATCATTCCGGTCGACGTCTTGGAACGAAAGGAGCGCAACGTCCACCGAGTGGCACGAGCGATGAACATGGAGGCAATTCACATTGGGATTCTCAACTGAGATTTCTTTATATCCAGGAAGTCCTTATGGAGGTCGACGGTAGGAAGGAAAAGAGTTGTAGGAAAGACCTCTGCTCTCCATCCGGTCCATCCGATCCATCCGGTTTCCCCCAACCAATCGCAGCGAATGATTTAACGATTCGAGCACTTGTTTTTGCTGAGGAATAAATTCATACTGACAGTCGGTATGAATTTATTCCGGGTTACGGGAAGCCAAGCTTTCCAGTCTCCTCTTTTAGTGCTTCCCGGTCGGTGGCTCCGTTTACGGTGCCGGGAAAGTACTTGACCTGAGGTGCCAGGCGATCCCTCACCACTCGCAGGTTGATTAGGGCCTCTGTGCCACCCTCTGGGGTCACACTTCCCTAGCAGTACATCGTCTGTTTGGCGAGAGGGACACCGTGGGCCTGGGTGGAGGGGCTCGATAAAATACAGGCAGGCGTCAGCAATAATACGAATCGTATATTTTCGTTCTGTTCTATTATGCAATAAAGGGAACGAAAAGACGAGGAGCTGAACTCGTCACTCTATGAGGGGATCGGGGCTGGAATGAGATGCGTCCGACGGATTCCATCCGCTTTCCTTCTCGCGGGACGCATGGGAGATCTTCGATCCTGGTCTCCCACAGGGTCTCCACTGATCCAGAGGAAGAAAGGGGGAAAAACTGAAGAGACGACACGTTTAAGAACTCGGTCCACCCATCGCCACGGGGATCGGAGACGGGGTAAGGGGACCCGACCGGGTGTTTTTAGAGACGGATCGGGACCGTTTCGCTCGGGCTACTAGCGAGGTCAGGATCAAGTCGAACATTGGGGCCTGTGGTTTCCATCTTCTTCAAGAGGCACAGTGAACGGGTGCTCATTCGCTAATGACTCCCTATCCTTAATCATTTATTCCCGCTCGAACTTACAACAGTTACAAATCCCACTTATAACCTGCCGCGTAGGTTTCATCAGAACCATTAACCTATCGGTACGTATATTTGCCTGTAAACATTTACATATTTTATGCATATCACTGGGGCGCTTCTGCGCCATCTTTGGACGATCTTATTAGTTAGCACTTCTCCTCCTCACAGCTCCCGTGATATTATTTTTAGCCCTGAAATATGGAACGAGCCGTGCAGCGATGAGTGTTTACGAATCAAATGACATATATTGAGACGCACGATCGGAAGAAGAAATTTGTTCCTTGACACTGTCTTCAAACTTACGTAGAATCGGGAACTTTGTGGAATACGTCGATCGAACGGGAATCACCGAGGAACGAAGCAAATGTAATTCACGAAAAGGGAATCGTTAGGAAATAGGGCATCACGGATCTTCTCCGCAGATGTCGACGAAGCAAGCCCAAGGTGTGGCCACCGGCGTGAGGAGGATCTCCACGTGGTCGTGACCGGTTCCGCCTTTCTCGACGTCTGCTTCGGGACAAGGTGTCTCCGCGTCCAGCGGCGTCACGGCGATCCCGGTGATCCGGAATCCGTCTTTCCTGAACCTGGCGGTATAAGGCCTGTCGGTCAGACGCACGATCCTTTCCCGATGGTACGGTTCCCCCACCTCGGCCGTGCCCAAGATGAGAGAGCACTGAGCAATCCTCCGACCGCGAAAAATGCTGCACAGCGCCTCCCAAGCCGCCTTCAGCTCCGGTCCCACGAACTGCCATCCGACTTGTACGAGTGCAAGTGCAAGATTCGCTCCCGGTCCCCACGGAACCACCGCAGTGGAAGTCGCACCGCATAAGCCGTTCCCCATCTGTTGGGTAATGCACCATTACCGATACGGTCAATACGTTACGAGTTCTCCTTCTGTGTCTACATCGACATAGCTTATACGTGAAGGCGAAAGCTTCTATGCACGGTCTTCAGCGCTTCGCACTCCTGGTCCTCTGAAGTACCTGAGGACCGATAAGTGGGGTCCCAGCGGGGCAGGTATCGCTCACCGGATGTAGCTCATTTCATTTTCGTGGCATGTTTGATACGGGGAATCACCTGGCACTTTCGTTGCCAAGCAATTAAAATTCCCAGTAGACGTCCTGGAGAGATTGTAAATCGAAGGCACTTGTGAAACGTTAGGAAACAGTAAACCAGCATACCGTTGCTTTTCGTTTCATCGAAAAACGGAAGCTTTACTCACTCACTTTTCATGCTTCCTTCCTCTCAACTCCATTTGAGTTTTTCTTCTTTCTGCTTCGCTGACCTTCCTTCCTTCAGTTCATTCTCTGAACTCCGCGTTCATTCGGAATGGTGCATGGAATGATCATTAGAAACCCCAAGGCGTACCTTCTCCATTTTTCCCTTAATCCCAGACAATAACGACTACCTTGTTTGCATTTCCACCCAAAGTTTCTCGGTGTGAGTTATTTCACCAGGAAAAGTATTGGCCGGTTTTCAAAGCTGAGACCTGCTGCTTCAGCCATTTCCGTTTATTTCCCTCGGCATTCCAAGTCTTTTCATTCAAAGTTCGATTATTCTGTCGTCACTGCTTTTCTTTGTGTTTAGTGCATATTGCGATCATGAGTCACTCCATCAAGAACTCTGGGGCCAGAAGTCAAGAAAATGAGAAACTCCATTTAATCTCAGGCCGTCTGTAGACGCTGTAATGCCAAGCAATTTTAGGAGCTTATACAATTCCTTGATGTAGTAATGTGAAAACCGATTTTCAAAGGTTTTACCTTTCTTCAACCTCAACCTCACCCTCACCTCCTCCCCCTCCCCCTCATGAATGAATTTTTCATAACTAAGGCACAATATCAGGCAACACTGGAGGACGGGACTGGAGCCATCGCGCTAAGCCTAAATTAACGGCATCTAATTTTCTTTTTTAATGGCGAAACGGGACACTGAAAGCAAAAAAAAAGAGACTTTTTGTCACCTCCAGGTCGAGATCTTTCATTTGGACGTTCACTTTCTCCGAAAACTTCCCAGGAGTGGCTACCCAGGGGGAGTGAAAAAAAATACAGAAACGAAATTAACATCTCTGAGGAGCCAGATTCAGCGATCTCCACAATCCCGGGGAAATGGAGCTTCAAATTTACTGGAGCGATTCTGTGTTGAGACAGGAAGAAGTATGCCAAAATTCGTTCATGTTGATGGAACGAGACGGTTGATTTTTGTCGCCGAAAGGGGTTGGAGAAAAGTAATGGGCGCTAGGGCGCCCAGTGATTCGCTAGAGAATTCGCTCCTGCCCTTGCTCATTCTCCGAAGGAGCATTGCATCGTGGAAAGCATGCTCCTGTTTTTAGAGACCGTCCTCATTCGTCTTCGTGTCAAAGGGCGCGATGATTCAACGAACCGTTTTCCCAGGAAGTTCGAAGATATACCTCAATATCTCCCTATTTTTGCATAATGCATGGTCGTTTCTCGAGAATGAGATTGAAATTCAAATTTTCAATAGACAGAATTGTGGAGATGCCTCTTGAGCAGCTTCAGATCCATTTTCCGACGAATCTGTCCACCCCCCTCAGATCCTTTAGGGATTTACTGAACCCAGGTTTGAAATTTTCCGGCATGTCAACTATACTATGTGCTTCTTCTCTCTGAGTATCAGGATTTCCATATAACTTACTATCAAGTGTAGGGATTTGTATAAGGATTTGATTGACACCAAATTTGTGAAATTCATTCCAATCGTTAGGAGTTAACAATATTTAAAACAGAATCGGTAGGAAAATTCACGCTGCGTCGGCCAGCTGTCCCCGGTTGCGGATTTTCCCCTCGCTCAACCGCCCCCCCCCCCCCTCCCCCTTCCCCCGCTCGCACAATCCTCTCGCACATACTCCTTCCTCNTTAATGATTCCCTGAGTCATATATTACAAAAATATGTAATAATTTCCTGCTTTCCATATATATATTCATGAATTGCACAATAAAAAAGGGAAGGATGTTAAGAAAACCTTATACTCCGTACTATTTAGGGAAAACCAGTACTTAATAGCATTTGTAGGGTACAGGGAACAAGGGTTCCATCTAGTGAGGAATCTTGGTATTGCAACTGCGGGATGGTCAGCTGAAGTTTCATATGGAAAGTGTGATGTTAACTTTGTATAAACTTGAAATCATGTACTTCACGTCAGATGGAGTGAGGTCTAGTTGATGTAAAATACACGTATACTTCGGTGACGTAAATATAGGAACGTAACTTTTACGTAAACGTGATGTCATTTTCATGGCAATCGCAATAAATTTGCATTGTTTGCAAGGAATTGATATATTGTTTACGTAAACATGCTGCTTGGGTGGTCCATTCACGCTTCTCTGTGAATGGAGCCTTCATAAATCAAGTTTTACGCATGAAAAATCGAGACAAGGGATATTTTTACTCCATGACATTTCATTTAGTAATGGAAAGGCATTTTCCTGAACGGAATTGGGAGCTTTGTCGTCGGAAAGTTATACTGCATACGGGCAGCTGAATAGAATTTCTGATCATTCCCGCTGCTATCAGAATTAGTGACAGATAGAAGCAACGTGCATTTTTCCAACGGACACCGTTTCTCCAGCGGCTTCTGCAATTGAAGTTTCGAAATTGGAATGAGTAAGTCATGGAGGTTCCATCGTTGTTTCTTTGCGGAAGGAACGTGTATATTCCTCGGTGTACGTCCCGCGTAGCTCAAAGTTCAGATTCGGGAACTTTACGGGGGAAATTTCTCGCTAAGTCTTGAATGCTCGCACCGTTCGGAGAAAGAGCATTTTGTGGCTCCTCTTTGTGACGGTGGCGTTGCCTTATACGAATGAGGGGGTTCTACCTAACCCTCTACGGACTGCCTTCGGGTCAGGCCTCAGCCTACGTTTTCTCG